ACACACACACACACACACGGTCCAGATCATCAGACCTCAGGCTCAACAGCTCTCTGGTTGAGCGGTCGCCCCACGTACGGAGGTTTGAATCCTCCTGCAGCGGCCACAGACCCGGCTCTTTGCTGCTCTGTCCCGTCAGTAAAGAAGTTTAAAAACGTCTTTAGAAACAGAACAGGTGAAACAATAAGATGATCATGAAAAGAAGAAAAGATCATTTTGAAATGAATTCAGCCTGAGAAAATAAAAGTTTCTTAAAGTTTAAACAGAGTTTGCATGTCAATCAATCTTTATTCGTACAGCACGTTTCATACAAACAGATTAACACCAGTGTGTCACAGAATAAAAACAATACAAGCAATAAATATTTCCCTCTAAAACTCCAGAGACGATGAGTGTGGATGTAGCATGAGAGAGAGGAAATAAAATCATGATTCAGTTTCTTCTTATGTTCTTTAGAACGTTTGTGTCACTGCTGATGTTCAGTTATTCTATTTTACTTAATCATAATTTAAACACGTGGTTCCAGTTCTTTACGTTGATTAATCTCATTTAACAGGATTCACAGATTCAAAGTCAGTCTCTGTTCGTAGCTGCAGACATGTCTCGTAGGACTCCTCTGAATCATGTCCTCTCTTTTTGTTCCTCATTAGCTTTACTAAGTTGCTCAAACACCAGGCTAACACTTAGCATGCCGCCCGCTGCTCCCGGCCGACAGATGTAACGTGTCTGAGCTGCCTGACGATGTATTACTCTGTGTATTCAGCCAAACGCTGCAGATTAATTGTGCTGCGAGAGCCGGGGTTAGCAATGCTAATTTAATCAGAGGCTGTTGTAACGCCGCCAGACCTGCAGCAGAAAAGCTCAACATGTGAAGAGAGGAGACGAGGAGGAGGAGGAGGAGGAGGATGAGGAGGAGGAGGAAGTGGAGGAGGTGGAGCTGGTTCTCTGGAGCAGTGAAGCTTTCAGAGCGTTCTCACGTTCATCCTCTCCAGACTCCAGTCATTTAGCTTTCTGCTTCTGGACACATTTCAATGAAGTGACCGGTGTGTGTGTGTGTGTGTGTGTGTGTGTGTGTTCACAGTCACAGAAGCAGAACTCACAGCTAAATGGGATCAGGCTCTGGGACCACAGTACCAAGTCCTGGTGAGACCACACCCACTGATGATGTCATCACTGCTGAACGGTGTGATCAACAGCACTGAATAGGATATCGTGTGTGTGTGTGTGTGTGTGTGTGTGTGTGTGTGTGTGTGGTCAGGTGGTGAAGCTGGATCCTGTCATTGAAGATGATGCAGAGCTGCAGAAATCCTCCAAGGTGAGAATCATCGTTCTTCTTCGTCTGTTTTCAGACACGAGCTCTGAGATGAAGTTTATCTTTCACATGTGAAGCAGCAGATTGTCGGGTCCGACTCGTTCACAACAACAGAACATGTGTTGAACATTCGTCTTCTACGTGTCCGGCTCCTCTTCTTCATCCTGAGAGATTTGTGTTCTTCCAGTTTCAAGTCCGTCACGAGTTAGAAACCTCAGAGACACGCCCACTCGCTCTCAGGAAAATGTCCAGAGTTCAGTTTGTGTCTGAAAGCAACTTTTAACAAAGTACCAGGAACTTGTCTCAGTCAAACCCAGTTTGAATCAGAAGGACTGAGCCAATAATCTGAATTGAATCCTGTCGTGTCTCTCATGTCCATGAAACCAGCTGTTGCCCGTCCACACTCTGCGTCTCGGTGTGGAGTTGGACTCGTTCGACGGTCACCATTATATCTCGTCTGTGGCCCCTGGAGGCCCCGTGGATAAACATGGAGTGTTGAGACCAGAGGACGAGCTGCTGGAGGTAAAACACAGGGACACTCTAACACTGTGAGACTAACTGCAGCGCCCCCTGGTGGTAGAAGCAGTGTGTCAGAGTTCACATTAACACACTGCATGTGTGTGTAGGTGAACAATGTTCAACTGTACGGGAAGACTCGTCGAGAAGTGGTGTCGTTCCTTAAAGAGGTTCCTCCTCCGTTCACCTTGGTCTGCTGCCGACACCCGACCTCTGACCTGGAACCAGAATCTGAAGCCGAGTCTGAACCTGAACCCGTGTCAAGACCCGGACGAGGAGCAGCAGGACGAGCGCAGCCCAGCGTGGAGGAGGTGAGAGGATCACAATGTAGAACTCTACAGTATTGATAATAACAAAAGATGACAATTGATCTCACACACATTGTGTCGTGTGTTTGTCAGATCGAGTTGAAGTTGTCGTCGATGCTCTGCAGTCAGGCGGTCCTGAGAGACGACAGTGACGAACAGCAGCAGGTAGTTACATGGGTAACAACTGCACACACACAGACACGCACAGACACACACACACACACACACACACACACACACACACACACACAGACACACACAGACACACACAGACACAGACACACACACATCACTGGAGTGGAATGAAAGTGAGAATGCTTCAGTTCAGAAGAAGACGTGTTTTTAAAGTTTAAATTGCTGACGTGAATTTGACTGAGACGGTGAGTTCGGATCAATCTACAGATTTTTAAATGTCAAACAAACGATACGATCTCAGCCTCATTCTTTACAAGAATGAACATGTGTGTGTTTAAGAGCCTGTTTGTGTTTCAGGAGCAGGAATCAGCGGAGGAGGAGGAGGAGGAGGAGGAGAGTCAACACAGCCAGGAGGAGGAAGAGGATGATGATGATGATGATGATGATGAAGGGGAGCTGGCTCTGTGGTCACCTGATGTTCAGATGTTGGAGCTTCAGAAGGAGAGAGACAAAGGCCTCGGCTTCAGTATCCTCGACTACCAGGTAACAACAACATCGCTGTCGTCCTCCCCTTCCTCCTCCCCTTCCTCCTCCTCTTCCTCCTCCTCTTCCTCCTCCTCCAGTGTTGTTGTTTACAGCTCGTCCACACGGCGTCGGCCCTCATCACCGAAACATCTGGAACCTCCTCTTCCAGTTTCACGTGCGTCACGTGTTAGAAACCTCAGAGACACGTCCACTCGCTCACTGAGAAGCTTCCACACATTTTACCAGGAGGCTGCAGGAGAAGTTCATGTCAGGACTTCAGTTCAAGACCAGTTTCTGTCTGAACATCGTACATCAGACAATTTATGCATTCGTCAAAATGTTGAACTGTTCCTTTACATCAAGTTTAATCTGATTGATGTTAAATCAGAACATTTTCTTTTTTAAACTAAACATTTGATGGATGAGATGATCTCAGGCTTCATCTTCACTGTCTGGGGAGAACATTTAGGAAATCCTGGCCTTCTGTGTGTTTATCCCCCCCAACATCACCACCACCCAGCCTCAGCTCTTTATCTCTAGGCACCGATTCACCTCCAAGACCTCCTCCTCCTCCTCCTCCTCCTCCCGCTCCTCCTCCTTCTCCTCACTCATATCGAGCTAAGGCAGAGGAAGCTTCAGGTTAATTCCCTGTTGGTTCACATCCAGGTCAGACTGCACACACACAGACACACACACAGACACACACACAGACACACACACACACACACACA